TCTCCTCCTCCCCCGCCCAATAAATAAATCTTTAAAAAGAAAAACTAGGTCTTCTAAAGTTTCCCATCATCTGGATTTTACTGATTACATTCCTGTGGTGTCTTTTACATGTTACTCTTTTCCCTCTGTTTCCATTAAGTTGATAATTTGATCTCCAGGTTTGATCAATTCAGGGTCAGTTTTGGGGTGGGGCCAAGAATCCTTCTGCGATGGTATTGGCCGTACGCAAGTGCACTATTTGTCTTTCTCTCCTGTATTGCTGTTGCCTTAGATCATTTTTCCACTAGGCAGTTTTCTAATTTTGTAGTTCCTTAGCTAGAATCTGTAAAGATAAACTTTTTCTCTTCAACTATATGCTTATCCTGAGGTATAGTTGATATAGGAAAGGCAGATTAAATGTTTCTTTTCTTTTATTTACTAAATACTTGGGATAATGGGTGGGTTTTTCAACATCCTCCAAAGGTGACCAGTGAGTTTTTCAGCATCATTATGAATCTGTGAATTTAAACATACTTGATGTGGTTTAGTCCATTGCAGTTTTTATCTGTACTGATGCACAAATTCTCCCATGTTTGGTCTTTTAAAATAGGCTCTTGAGTCCTTCTGACACAATCACGATAGTCTGTGATGACTGTCTTACTTTCTGGTATGAAAAGATGCTCCAGGGCCATGTATGTTTCCTGCTCCAGATGTGAGTTCCTCATTTCTCTAAGGCAGGAGTTACAAGCCTTTTCAGGCGGGGGCCAAATAAATAGTAAATGTTTCAGGCTTTGCAGGCGGTACGGTCTGTCACAGCTCTGCCATTGTGGCACGAAAGTACCCACAGATGATAATGTAAATGAGTGAGCGTGACTGTATCCCAGTAAAACTGTGGTCACCAAGATTTGCATATCATTTAATTTTCATGTGTCGTGAAGTATTATATATATTTTTTGATGACCTAAAAATTTAAGAACAATTTCTAGTTTGCAAGCCATATAAGTAGGGAGCCATAGTTCACCAATGCCTGCCCTAGGAAAACTGGTCTGGGTGCTGGGGTGCTCATACATCTAGCAGGTCATTGTTTCTAGACCTTTTCGGTGCCACAGTGGGGAAATTCACATTTATTATTTTTTAAGATTTTATTTATTTATTTGACAGAGAGAGAGAAACAGGCTCCCCACTGGGCTGAGAAACCTCCTGAGGGGCTCAATCCCAGGGATCCCCCTGGGATCATGACCTGAGCTGAAGGCAGATGCTTAACCGACTGAGCCACCCAGATGCCCCAATACACATTTATTTTATTTTATTTTAAAGATTATTTATTTATTTATTTATTTATTTATTTATTTATTTATTAGAGAGAGAGAGACAGAAATAGTGACAGAGAACATGAGTGGGGAGAAGAGGGAGAAACAGGCTCCCCGCTGAGCAGGGAGCCCAATGCGGGGCTCGATCCCAGGACTCCGGGGTCATGGCCCGAGCTGAAGGCAGATGCTCACCTGACTGAGCCACCCAGATGCCCCAATACACATTTATTTTAAAGAGAAAATTTTTCATGAGTTCATATCGATATTTCAGTTCACATATAAGGTTACAGGACTTATTCAATACTCTGTTTATAGAGCGGAACCCTCTTCCCACACCTTGCTGAGTTCAGGAAGTGGTGTGTGTGTGTCTCCCAGACTGGGGGAAGCCCAGGCCTGTGTTGAGTCTGGACCCAGGCAGTTCCCCGACAAGAACTGAATACGCCTTTTAGCCCTCTAGTCAGCCTTGGGCTCCCTACATGGGGGGGATAGCATGCCATTCTGTGGCAGGGCCTTCTGTGGCCTTCTGTGGACTCAGGCTTCTTTGAGACTCTGCGTGCAGGCATTGTGCCCTGGGAGTGCCAAGGCCCCATGCAGCAACACCTTCTCTTTAGAGGGAGGATTGTCCTTAACCACTCAGAATTCATCTTACTGGAAAACCTGACTTCCCGCTATGAGGTGCCTTGTGTCCTGGACCTCAAGATGGGTACCCGCCAGCACGGTGACGATGCTTCAGAAGAGAAGGCAGCCAACCAGATCCGCAAGTGCCAGCAGAGCACATCTGCAGTCATCGGTGTCCGTGTGTGTGGCATGCAGGTGAGGGGGATGCAGGTGTATAGCGTGGGCTGGCTAGGGCATCCAGTAGCTGCCACTCCCGAACCCTGGTGTAGTCCTGTTTTCCCAAGATTCCAGCGTGACTGAGGGAGTCTCTCGCTCTCTGGTTAGGAAGAAAGCATGGCTGCTTGGGTGAACCCTCTGGGGCTCACCTGGTTGACTGAGTCCAGAGCCTCTGGGCAGGAGCGGGAATAAAGGCAAGAAGGTTAGTCCCTCTCCCCCAATCCATACACTAAGCAGGGGTCTGTGGACGGAACCAGGTCAGAGGGCTGCATCCTGAGTGGTGGTTGATCAGAGAGGATAGTGTCTTGTGTGACTGGTGTACTTAACAGGTTAAAGGATCTGATCCAGGGCTGTCCTGTTGCTGCCGTTCCCCAGGTGCAGGCTTTGAGATGGCTGCCAGTACCTAACCCGCTGGTCTCCCTCCCACAGGTGTACCAGGCAGGCAGTGGGCAGCTTATGTTCATGAACAAGTACCATGGACGGAAGCTATCGGTGCAGGGCTTCAAGGAGGCACTTTTCCAGTTTTTCCACAACGGTCGGTACCTGCGCCGTGAGCTCCTGGGCCCGGTGCTTAAGAAGCTGACTGAGCTCAAGGCCATTTTGGAGGGACAGGAGTCCTACCGCTTCTACTCAAGCTCCCTACTGGTCATCTATGATGGCAAGGAATGGCCTGAGGTGGCCCTGGACTCAGATGCTGAGGACTTGGAGGACCTGTCAGAGGAGTCAGCCGACGAGTCTGCTGGTGCCTATGCCTACAAGCCCATCGGCACCAGCTCAGTGGACGTGCGCATGATCGACTTTGCACACACCACCTGCAGGCTGTATGGCGAGGACAGCGTGGTACATGAGGGCCAGGATGCTGGCTATATCTTTGGGCTCCAGAGCCTGATAGACATTGTCACAGAGATAAGTGAGGAAAGCGGGGAGTGAGCCTGCTGGCTGCACCAGCGCTTGAGACTCTCTGTGTCCCAGGCACAGCTGTGCTGCGTCGGGGAGGAGGCCAGTATGGCCAGGCCGTTGGCCCCTGCAGCCTGGAGCTGATGTGCAGAGGCCTCTGTGAGTCCCAGCCTGAGCCAGCCCCAGCCGCGGTCGGAATCTTTTATTTATTTTAACTATTTCTTCAACATTCCACATTTGATGATGCAGATACCTCTTTCTTCCTTGAGTGTAAATGTTCTAATACAAACCTTTTTGTTAATTGTACACAGTGCTGCTGTCGTTCTTACTAGGGCCGGGCAGCCAGCCCCTTCCCAACCCTCAGAAGCCCCACACCTGCTGTCTCCTCCACCCTAGCCCAGGAATATTCTCCTTGCCACTGCCCCCACCTCATAGACCTACTGAAGTCACCACAGCTTCTTGGCTTGGCCCTTAGGTCCCTTTGGGGCCTTTGCTGGCCTAGCATCCTAGCACCCGCTAAGCAAAGAACTACTTGACTTCTTGATACAGGTCTTTTCCCTCTCCTCCGTGCAGCTTAAGACCAAGTTGGGCAGCATGTGTGCCAGACCTTGGATCCAGCTCCTGCACTGTGATGTCAGGTGTCCTAGAGCCAAACTGGGGCCTTGAGGAGCTGTCAGGCTCTGGTCTGCTGGCAGCCATGGGCTCCACAATAAAAGGTCCTAGGAGGTGGGGGATCCCAGTGAGAAAGGGTGTTCCTCTTAACCACACCACATGTCACCACTGCTACCCACCACTATGCCAGTCTCATCTGTCCAGCTCCAGCCAAGGCAGCCCCTAAGAGCTACTTTGCTAGGAGGGTCCTGGGAGGTGTGGCAGGAGGTCTTGAACTGCAGAACCAGGCACCAGGGAGAAGGGCACAGACCCAAAGCCAAGAAGGTAGGGTCTTGTCCAGTTCTAGCAGGCCCACACCTCCCTGAAACTCCCAGCACCTCCTCTCCAAGGCTCACTATGCCTATGTGCACTATGTCCCAGAACACCCAACTGCATACACTGGCCTGTTTGTGCCCACACCCCCTGCACCCTGGGCCCAGGCTTCCAGTGGGGAATGTGGCTGGACCAGTCCCTGGATGGGAATAGGAGGACCCTTAGGGCCTCTCCCCTGGGTCCTTCCCTCAGGACATCGAGGACAGGTCAGGGCTGACTGGAAAGGTGTGCAGGGTCAAACAAACTCTTATGGCCACAGAGCACCCCCCCTCTGCACCCTCACCAGCTCTCCTGTCTGCTCAGAAATAATTTGGAGTTGTAAGTCCTACAAAGACAATAGAGCAATGTGACAGCGACTGGGAGTGTGATGACCTTATGCTGTGAGGGAGGGAAGTGAGTCCCAGGCAAAGGAAACCATATGCAAGGACCCACATTAGAGGAGTAGAGAGAAGCTAGTGAAGAGAGGAAGTGGGTGGGCAGCGAGGACGGGAGGACTTTGGACTGGGGAATGGCTAACCTCGTTTCGGTGCGTGCGGCTGGAGTACGGACCTCGTGGAAAGGGGTCATGCGGCCTGCAGACACCAGGGAGACGGGTCCCCGCGGGCGCCTCCAAGTGTTGGATCAGCGAGATGCAACAATGGGACTACGCTACCGTTAGTAGGTCGGGACCCACTCTCCCGGCGTGGCGGGGACGCTCGGGACTAGAGCGCAGGACACAGGCTCTGCCGTTGGGCTGCGGGCGGAGCGCTCCTTCGGGAGGTCGAACGGGTCGCAGCACCGGGCTTGAGTGGAGGGCCAGGCGGGAGAAGCTGGGGTGGGTTCGCCGGGAGGGTACGGAGCGAGGGGTCGGAGGCTCGGATTCTGAAGGGGTCCGTACCCGACCGGCGGCGGACTCGAGCTGCGCCGCTTGGAACCGCCAGGGGGCGCCGCGATGCGCGCGGGGGCCGCCCCACTCCTGAGGCGGGGCTGCGGCGGGCGGGCGGGTGCGCGCACGCGTCGTGTGTCACGGGGCGGGGCGGGGCGATCGCGGTGTTCCCGGCCTGGCGTCCTGGTTCCGCAGCCCCCCGCCGCCTCCACTGCCCCGGCGCGGCCCGGCCCGGCCCCATGTATCGTGCGCTCTACGCGTTCCGCTCGGCGGAGCCCAACGCGCTGGCGTTCGCCGCGGGCGAGACCTTCCTGGTGCTGGAACGCAGCAGCGCGCACTGGTGGCTGGCAGCGCGGGCGCGCAGTGGCGAGACGGGCTACGTGCCGCCCGCCTACCTGCGCCGCCTGCAGGTGAGTGTTCCCCTCCCCGGCTCGACCTCCGCGGTCCCTAGACTGGGCCCCATCACAGGCTCTCGGTATCGACCCCGGATGCCCCAGCCCCGCCGGGACCTCCCGCAGATAGGCAGTCTGACCCTGAGATCCCAGACTCACGAGGACTGGGACCCCAAGAGCCCGCACCCCCACAAAAGGCCAGGCCCTTGACAGCCAACTCTGAGGACACCAGACCTGCAAGCCTAACTCAGGGACTGAGAGACTCCTTGGCATCCCAGACGCATTGAGACCAAATATCTGAAGCCCCATCTGAGTAGAATTCAAGACTCAGTCCTGAGATTCCACTACCGCCGAATTCTGATCAGTTCCCCAGATCCCTGAGACCCCAGACCCATAATCGGTCCTTTCCCTGGATCCCCCGGATCCCACACTCTTGCCTCCCACCCTCAGACCCCCAACTGGAGCCACTGCCTCCATCACTGAGACCGGGGCCACCCTGGACACCACCTGTTTCCCCAGCCATCCTCTGTGTCCTCACTCCCTGCACTGAGACCCTGGAGCCCCTAGATGACCCAGCAAACCTTGAGGCCTCAGTGTCTTTCACTCTCCTGTCCTCAGCCACCCCCTAAGCTGTTCTTCAGACCACCCCCGACCCTCTTGGAACCAAAGATCTCAGCCCCTGTTGGCACTCCCTGGCACTACTCTCCCCACCCCCATCACAAGCCTCAGGCCCTGACTTTTCAGACTAATTTTCTCTGAAACTGAAAAGCCCCATCCCTCCTTGTCCACAGCCTGGGGTGGAAGGCTTGTGAGGCGTTGTGAGGAAGTGAGACCTCTTCATGGCTTCCCCTGGTTTGACTATGGCCCTGTTTCCTTCCAGTGGAGGGTACATCTCCAGTTCCTGTTTCCCCAAGAATAGTCCTGCAGTGGGGGCTGGGGTGCAGTGTCTCCAGCTGGTCTCTTCTGACCTCCGGGGAAAGGAGGGCCTGGAGCCTCCAGGCCTGGCCTGTGCCAGACACCCCCGCCCCATCCTAGTCCCTCGTCTTTAGGAAACATCCTGTCCCAGCCCAGTTCAGGACAGAAATAACAGGATAAATTTGGAGATGTCATCTGGTCTTAGCAGAGGGGATGGGCCCTGGGCCTTGGACCCTCAGCTTACTCCCTTCTAGGAGTGCCTGGGGTGTGACTGGGGCCCTGGACACTAGGGCTGCTGGCTCTGGAGTGAGCATGTCAGACCCAGCCTCTCTGGGGTTGGGGGCTTGTTGGAAGCCTCTTCTTCAGGGGCCTGTGAGGATCCTGTCCTGGGCTAGTGGGGCTTCGTGCTTGGGGAGGGCAGAGAGGCTACCATCCCCTTGTAGTCTCTTTCTGTGTATCTCCTGGTCTCTGTCCCCCTAACTCTGTCTGTGTCTGCCATTCCGACTCTCCCCCTTTCTCTGTCTCTGGCTCTCAATTTCTTTCTGCGTTGTCTCCCTCTGCCTGTCTCCCTCTCTCTCCCTCCCTTCCTCACTCCCCTTCTCTTTCTTGTTTTCTATGGGTATGTGTTTGTTTTTCTGTCCCCCTTTCTGTCTGCTGTCTCCCTGCATTCTGGCATACCCCGTGCTACCTGGAGGGCTTTGCTGACCTCTGTATCCATCTGTCTGTCCCCATCAGGGACGCTTCTTCGACCCCGCTTGGAGTGACGTCACCTCAGTTCTGAGACTTCCGTGTAGCCTGGTGAACCATCATGGACAGGGGAGGGCTGGAGGTGGATGGTCCCACAGCTCCCACCCCCCACTCCTCACACCACGCCAGGCTGGCTGGGTTGATTAGACCCCTGAGTTGCTGTGTCTGGCAGCACGGAATCTGGGACAGGGGCCAGGCCCCTCTCTTATGTCCGTCCTTTGCCACAAACACAGAACTGCTGCTTCCCAGGGCAAGTCTGGAAGATTCCTGGAATAACTAGGGAGAATGAGGGCTAGAAGCAGGGGTGGAAAGAGGGGATCCCTTTGGCCCATCCTCAGCTGGTCCCTCAGGCCCATCTCTGGGGTCTGCAGAAGGCTCTGGAAGGACAGGGCTATTCTGGAGTGTGACCTTGGTTTGGAGAAGGATCAGTAAGATCCAGAGTGATTTGTTAAGGGTTCCAGACACTAGAGGCTCCCTGCTTGCCATGTCAGCCTGGGCTCTGAGCCAAGCCTGGGGATAGACTAGGTATGTGCTCCTGGTCTCAAGCTGGGGGTCCCTGGGCTGTGTTTTTGCTCTAGACCCCTGGTGTTCAGAGACAGCTGAGAGCCTCACTCTGGGGCCTGACTGGGACCCCAATACGTAAAGCAGCAGCATGGGGCCACCCCGTGCCCCAGCTCCCTGAGTAACACAGTTTGAGAACCTTACTTCATAGTGTAGTTCAGCTTTCTACACTCATGTCTAGCATTCCAGGCTTTAGCTGTAACAGTCCTCTGCCCTGGGCTCCATCCTAGGCTGGGTCTGGGCTCACGCTCTCTAGGCCCCCAGGTCTAACTGTGCACCCTTGCCCCCGGCCAGGGCCTGGAGCAGGATGTCCTCCAAGCCATTGACCGGGCCATTGAGGCGGTGCACAATGCAGCCATGCGGGATGGTGGCAAGTACAGCCTGGAGCAGCGCGGGGTCCTTCAGTGAGTGTGGGGGAGGGGAGGAAGAGGGCACCCGCCACCTCCCTGCCCCAGTGAGCACAGTCGGGTGGGGGTCCTTCAGTGAGGACTGGGGAGGTCTGGAAGGCAGAGTTGGGGCTAGGGCAGAGTGGGGTGGAGCATGAGGGAGGTGGGAGGAGCCGCGCCCCGCCCCGCATCCCATAAGGAGCCTGTGAGGACTTCAGGAGTTTTAAGGTCACTCACCCAGTAAGCTCCCTGCCCCTCCATCAGGAAGCTGATCCACCATCGGAAAGAGACCCTGGCCCGCAGAGGCCCCTCAGCCCCGAGTCCCGCAGCTATGACCGCGTCCTCCAGTGACCACCATTTGGATGCTGCTGCTGCCAGGCAGCCCAATGGGATGTGTCGAGCTGGCTTCGAGTGGCAGCACAGCCTGCCCAGTTCCGAGTATCTCGGGGCAGATGGAGGCCTCTACCAGGTACGGGGTGAGGTTACCCTGGGGAAGGGAGGTGAGTGGAGCTTAAGGCTGGGTCCAGAGGCTCCGAGAGTCCCCTCGGGTCAGGGAGGCAGAGCCGTAGCCCTGCCCCTGGCAAGAGCCCAGGGCCCTAGCCACGCCGGTACCCCAGCTGGCAGCCTGTCCTCCTAGATCCCACCACAGCCTCGCCGAGCAGCGCCCGACACGCCACCCCCGCCTGTGAAGCGCCGAGACCGGGAGGCCCTGATGGCCCCAGGAAGTGGTGAGAAGGCAGGGTTGGGGCAGTTTGGCGGGGGGGGGGGGGGGGGGGGGCCGGCACCCTGTGCTTGGCCCGGCTGCTCTGCCTGTGTCAGGAAGTTAGGGCCTCTGGGCTTGGCGGGGCGGGTCTGGCAGAGAAACCAGGCCCTGTCCTGGGAGGGGCGGGGCTCAGGGCCTGGAGGGGTAAGGGACCCAGGGGGCTGTCCCAGCACAGCATCCACTCTCTGCCCACAGGCGGCCGCAACACCACGCCCTCCGGGGCCAGTTCTGTGTCCAGTGGCTCCTCAGTCAGCAGCACCTCCCTTGACACGCTATGTACCGGCTCTAGCTCGTCTGAGCTGGGCCCCAGCTGCTCACCCACGCCCCCGCCCGTGCCCCGCCGAGGCATCCATACCACTGTGTCCCAAGCTCAGCCCCCTCCCTCCAAGGTGCCAGCCCCCGAGCCCCCTCCAGAGGAGGTGGCGGTTGATACAACCTCAGCCTCTGATGAGCTGGAGGCCCTGGGTGCACTGAGCCTGGGGACCACAGAGGAGAAGGTGGTGGCTGAGACTGCCGTGCCCAGGACCATCGGGGCAGAGCTGATGGAGCTCGTGCGGAGAAACACTGGCCTGAGCCACGAGCTATGCCGTGTGGCCATTGGCGTCGTGGTGGGTCACATCCAGGCCTCCGTACCGGCTAGCTCGCCTGTCATGGAGCAGGTCCTCCTCTCGCTGGTAGAGGGCAAGGTGAGGGTGGGCGGCGGGGCCAGGGGGCCTCCCCATCCTCGGGCCACCCCGCTTCCCCTGCCCCATTCCCACCCTCACACTTGTGTCCAGCCTTGCCTTGACAGTAGCTCGGCCTTCATTGTGGTGGGTGCTGGGGACGTTTGAGCTGATCCCTGGAGGAGAAAGGGAGGAAGAGCATTCCAGGCAGAGGCTTAGCCTGGGCAAGGGCCATAAGGCAGGCCCACGCTTGGCTCGCGGGGGAGGCGGAACAAGGCCAGCATGGCTGTACCACGGGGAGTGAGGGAACAGGTGGTGTGGGAGGAGGTGCGACTCGGAGCAGGTGACAGATGAGACCAGATGTGAGTGGCCCAGAGTCTTCTCTGGCTGCGGGGGGGGTAATGGACACGGCATGAGAGAGGGCAGTGCCTTGCTGGCCTTGGCAGCGGAGAGGGAGCTGTGGCGGAGGCCTCAGGACTGACTCAGGGGTGAGTCAGGTGTGTGGGCATCGTGGGGGGCGTGGGATGCTTTGCCAAGGTTGGGGCACTGGACAGAAAGCAGGATCGGAGGGCAGTGATCCGTTTCCATATGGGGACCAGATGGGCCCAGGGTCCCTCCTTAGGGCCCCAGGACCCGGCAGCCATGGGGTGGGGGGCAGGTGGAGCAGCAGGTCAACGGGCTTGTTGTCTGTGCTGGGCATGGCGGGTGCTCATCAGGCAGGAAGTACTTGGGAGCTGGAAGGCGGGGCGATGACAAGGCCTGGTGGCACGTTGTGTGGATTCGGAGGGTAGCATCTCAGTCACATTTAGGCAGTGGCAGAGTCGGTGGCCTTCCTCGCAGAAGATGTTTATGCAGGGCTGGGATGAGAGGCGGGTTGTTGGAAGGTGCCCCGCAGATGTGTCCCATGCAGAATCTGGTCCCAGCAGGTTATCAAGACTGGGGGCAGTAGAGTTACTTGCAGAGGGGCTGTGGAACTGGGCTGGTGCCCTTGGGAGCCTCGGTGTTGAGGTGTGGGCCGTGGGAACAGGTCTTTCGTGGGAGCTCGAGGCGGGGCAGAGGGAAGAAAGAAAGAGAACCAGGGCCTGGTCCCCTCACAGGTTCTGGGAGGCCACAAACGAGGAACCGCTCTGAGAGGTGAGGCTGGGGACCCTTGCCTGATGTTGGCCTGGAGCTCATGCCCGTTACATCCTCAGGGTCTGGGTTGACTTCCAAGCCTTGGGGGCTTCCTGGAGATGGGGAGGGGCAAGGAGTGTGCTGAGCCATGCCTCCCCCCAGGACCTGAGCACTGCCCTGCCCTCAGGGCAGGTCTGCCATGACCAGCAGCGGCTGGAGGTGATCTTTGCAGACCTGGCTCGGCGGAAGGACGATGCCCAGCAGCGCAGCTGGGCCCTGTATGAGGACGAGGGTGTCATCCGCTGCTACCTGGAGGAGCTGCTGCACATTCTGGTGCGGGGTGGGGGCCCACGGGTGTCCCACCCCCGCCCCCCACCCTGCGCCACCCCCGTCCAGTGCTCAGGAGTCTCCCCTGCGGGTACTCAGACCGCTCGTGCGTGGCCGCGCGGCTCACACGGAGTGAGTCTGTCACGCTTCCTCCTCCTCACAGACCGACGCAGACCCGGAGGTTTGCAAGAAGATGTGCAAGAGAAACGAGTTCGAGTCTGTCCTGGCCTTGGTGGCCTACTACCAAATGGTGTGTGCGAGGCCGCAGGGCGGGGGCGGGGAGGCACCCGGGCAGAGGGGGCGGTTCCGGGCACTGAGCGCGGGGTCTCCTGCCAGGAGCACCGGGCGTCACTGCGGCTGCTGCTGCTCAGGTGCTTCGGCGCCATGTGCAGCCTGGACGCGCTCGTCATCTCCACCCTCGTGTCGTCTGTGCTGCCTGTGGAGCTGGCCCGGGACATGCAGACAGACACGCAGGGTGAGGCGGGGTGGGGCGGGGCCGGGGCCTCCTGCGCGGGGGGGGGGGGGGGGGGGGGCGTTCCCACCACCCGCCGGGGCTCTCACCGCCTGCCTTGCCCTCCAGATCACCAGAAGCTCTGCTACTCGGCCCTCATCCTGGCCATGGTCTTCTCCATGGGGGAGGCAGTGCCCTACGCGCACTACGGTGAGCGCGCCGGGAGCCCGAGGGCCTGGGGACCCACCGCCCGGGGTGACGGGGACCCAGGGGGCTGCGTGGGGAGGGCGCAGAGGCGGGGAGGCCTCAGGTCCTGTGCGCCCCCCTCCCAGAGCACCTGGGCACGCCCTTCGCCCAGTTCCTGCTGAGCATCGTGGAGGACGGGCTGCCCCTGGACACCACAGAGCAGCTGCCGGATCTGTGCATGAACCTGCTTCTAGCGCTCAACCTGCACCTGCCAGGTGGGAGTGGGGCCCGGCGGGAGCGGGGCAGACCAGCGAGGGGGCGCTCCCCGCTTGCTGCCCGTGCGCTGGTCTATACCCGTGTCCGTCCTCAGCCCCTGACCAGAACGTCGTCATGAGCGCCCTGAGCAAACACTCCAACGTCAAGATCTTCTCCGAGAAGCTGCTCTTGCTTCTGAACAGAGGGGGTGAGGGCCCGGGAACCTGTGTGATGCCACTGCCCTGTCGTTTGGCTCCGTGGCCCCCGACACTCTCCGCAGTGCCCCAGGGCCCCCCACAACCACCGCCCTGACCCCTCCTCCCCCTGCCTCCTAGACGACCCCGTGCGCATCTTCAAACACGAGCCGCAGCCGCCGCACTCCATCCTCAAGTTCCTGCAGGACGTGTTCGCCAGCCCAGCCACAGCCGCGATCTTCTACCACACAGACATGATGGCGCTCATCGACATCACTGTGCGCCACATCGCGGACCTGTCACCCGGAGACAAGGTGCCCGGACGTGGCTGCGGCGGGGGTGGGAGCTGTGCAAAAGCTGCAACAAAATGCAGGGGAGACAGGCCACTGAATGGAGACTGGGGGCAGGGTGCAGCTGCAGCCAGGCCGGTGTGGGGGCCGCTCAGAAACCATGGCAGGTGTGCCCTGACCCACAGGAGCCCTGGTGAGCCGATGTGGGCCAGGCTGCCTGGACGGAGCTGGGGTGGAGGAAGCCGGGCGGTCAGGCAGGAGGAGGTGGCATTTCCACAAGGCCTCAGAGGCTGCAGCGGGAGAGGAGGGGATGTGGCCTGACTGACACCCCAAATGGAGTGCAGACTACATGAGAGCTCAGGGGAGGTGGGAGGCCTGCAAGGAAGCAGCCGCAGCCGTCACGGCGGCCCGGGTGGGTGGTGAGAGGCCGTGGCCGTGGGCGGTGAGGTCAGGTTTGCGTGTATTGGCGGTGAGTCCTGGGGTTTGCCCTGGACTTCTGTCAGGCAACCAGGTGGATGAAGAGTGATTGCTGAGGCGGGGAAGCACGGGGAGGAGGCAGAAGATAGGGTTGTGTTCTGATGTGTCAAGACTGAGAAGATAGCCGCTAGTCGTCCAGGTATGGAGCCCGTTGGGGAGCAGTGGAGCTGAGTTGGGACTGGAGAGAGACAGCGTGGAGTTGCCTGTGCACACGTGTGATGGGGAAGCCTGCTTCGCTGCCACCGCCGAGGGCGTGAGGTGGACAGGTCAGAGGGAAGCTCAGGCCTCGGCTCAGGGCACAGTGGGGACAGGTAGGGAGGAACCCAGGAGAAAACCCAGAGAGCAGGAGCCCAAAGCGGGGTTTGGAGGAGGTGGAGATGAGCTGTTTCCACAGTTAGGAGCCTGAGTAGGACAGAGGCTGCGAATTGGCCGTTGAAATTGCCCCCCAGAGGCCAGAGGTGACTGACAAGCAGTATCTGCAGAGTGGAGGGAAGAGGGTCCAAATAGAACGTGCAAGAGAGAATTTGAACTTGGAGGGGAGTGAGGGGGACATTGGAAGCCGTAAATGGAGACAACTGCTGTGAGTCTTTCTATGAAGGGAGCAGAAGAGCGGGGGGGCCCCTGGAGGGAGATGTGGGGGTCAGGAAAGGTTTTAAAGTAGAAGATGCTGGTGCCGGTCTCTGGGCCAGAGGGAATGATCCAGTAGACATCAAGAAATGGCTGACGTGTCCAGGAGAGTGGGCCAGTGCTGGAGTGAGGTAGATCGGGCAGTGGGGGGAGCCCAGGCCTGTGGGGGGATGCCTCCCCCAAATGGGAGCCAGGGCAGCTCATTATGGCTGGGACAGGTGAGATGCAGGTGCTGGGAGGGGAGAACAAGAGCTTTCCGAAAGATCGCTTGTTTTCTCCACAAAGCACAAGGCTGGCTGTCCAGGCACTTTGGATCTGGAAAACCGGCAGAAGGAGGTGGGCAGTGATCCTTAAGGGTGCGTGAATGTAGCAGAGGAAAGAGGCGGGAGTCCAGGGCAGTGGTGTACGTCCATCTGAGGCTTGTGGTAGGGAAGGAAGTTCGGGCCTGCGTGCGGCCTTGGGGCTGCCGACTGCTTAGACGCTGGGCGCTGATTTGCAGGCGCTGCGGTCTGACCAGGGTTGGGGGTCACAGGGTGACGCTGCCTGAAGAAGGTATTGACTCCTCGAAGTACAGGTAGAGAGGGAGGGGAGGGATGGTGACAGGGATGATGAGGGGGGCAGACAGAGGGAAAGTGCTGGGGTCGGGTCAGTGGATTGGGTATCTCAGGAAAAAGGAACAGCTGGGGTGTCAGAATCGAGGGGCTGTTGAAGCTTTTTCAACCTAAAGGTGCTGGGGTGGGGGATGTTGGCGCTGGACTGAGGGCATGTGTGGAAGGTAGGATGGTGGCCAGGGCCTAGGGGTGGGTATCAGCGAGGACACATGTGTTTCTGGCCTGTGCGTTTAGATGGACGGCTGAGCTCTTTAGTAAGAAAAGAAAAAACCCTGAGAAAGCCTTCAGTTTGGGGAAGATGGGGAAGGTCATGAATTTGATGGTGCACACGTGTGGCGGAGGTCTTTTGAGGCACGTGGGAGATGAGAAGTGGGCAGTTGAAACTCTCATCTGGAGCTCCCTGGAGAGGTCTAGGCCAGAGGTGTGAGTGTGGGTCATTACCTGAAGCTGTGAGTGTGAGTGAGATCTTCCAGGGTGAGAGGAAGCAGGGGACCTCTGACCGGACAGCGGCCCCGTGAGGGCCCAGCGGTAAAGACGGGCAGGACCTGGCCGCTTCCCCTGGCCACGTCTCCGAGCCATCCCGTGGGCTGGCCCCGTTCTGGGACTGCCTGTGTCTGGGACGATCCATTCATTTCACTTACTCAGCGGCTCTCGACGGCCAGCTCTGGGCCAGGCACAGGTGGGTGCTGGGGCTGCAGCCCTGATCTTCAGTGCCGTGAGCTGGCCCACGGCCCGGGGGCACACGTGGCGGCCTGTTCCTGTCGGGCGGCAGTGGGAGCGCCTCGCCGGGGTCCCTGAGCTCAGCCGCTCCTCCCACAGCTGCGCGTGGAGTACCTGTCCCTGATGCGCGCAGTGATCCGCTCCACGCCCTACCTGCAGCACCGCCACCGGCTCCCCGACCTGCAGGCCACCCTGCGGCGCATCCTGAACGAAGAGGAGGCCTCACCGCAGGGCCAGATGGACCGCATGATTGTCCGAGAGATGTGCAAGGAATTCCCCGTGCTGGGCGAGGACCCCAGCTAGCGCCTCCCTTCCCTCCCTTCCCTGCAGCCCTGGTCGGGGTGCAGGGGACGCGGAGGCGTGGCCCTCAGAATGTTTTGCACAGACGGGGTGGGGGAGGTGGTGGTGGAGGGACCTGAGCAGGGCTCCCCCCTCCCCGGAAGTAGAGCCGATGCGAGGGGCCAAGTGCAGGATTGGGGACCACGCCCTGGGAGCTCCGCTGGGGCAGAGGGCCTGTGTGAGCTGAAGCCCCTCCATCTCCCGGTAGGCTGCCTCTTCAGCATGCCCCCTCCCCTCAGATCAGATGCACACTCAGAGTCCTGCTGCTACTCCAGGCTGGGCCAGAGCCCCCCATCCCTGCCCTGCCTAGTCTGGGTCCCGGGCCTCAGCAAGCCACGTCGTTGGGGTCAGGGGAGGCGCCACCCACCAGCTCTGTTCTTTGCCTTAGCTTCGCAGTGAGTGCTGCTCATGTGCCCCCCCCGCCGTGGGGGTCGCTTTCCCTTGCTCCCACCCCCAGAGGTCTTTGCCAAGCAGCTGCTTCGAGCACAGAATCTTAGAGACGGGCCATCTATTCTGGAGCGCCACCGAATAGGGTGATGGCACTGAGAAAGCCAACGACAGAGTCTATTTTCTCCGTAAAAACAGACTGAAAAGCCATGTGTATTTTCCCGTGTGCTGTAGCTCACCTTCGGAAATAAATCACAGGCATCCGGAAACGGGCTGTGTGATCAGCAACCCCGCCTGATCCTGGGTTGGGGTGGGAGAGGATGGGCAGGGGTGCTGGGGCCTCAGGACCTTGTCGCTTGCTTGCTCTGACCTCTCCAGAGTGAGGAGGGGATGGTCCCTAACAGGCCTGTCCATCAAGGTCCCTTGAGCCCTGTTCCAGCCTCTCTCCCCGAGTTCCCATTTCTCCCGGGCCACAGCTAAGCCAGTGAGTGCCCCGCCACCTGTTGGCAGGTGACTGTCCTTGCCGACCTCACTTCTCCCGTGTTGAAACCCTACCCTTCGTAGCTGTTCTCCAGTGAAGCGGGCCCCACCGCAGCCCCTGCCTCCCTGCACGTGCAGGCCCTGCCCGGCTTGGTCGCCTTCCTCGTTTGTCAGTGGGTCCAACAAGATCCCCTCATTTTGCAGCCTCAGAGATTTTACCCTACATTACAGTAGGGCAAAAAGAGTATCTCAACAGGCGTGGGGTTCAGTTTGCACTCCTGTTGGCGGACAGTCGGGGACCATCTGGGAAAAGCTTCATTTTCCTTGCGGGCTCCCAAGTTAACGAAGGCTTGCGCCATAAATGGCGGAGGGTCCAGAGCCCACAGGCAGACCCCAGTCAGAAGTAGTTTTCATTAGTCCCCTCTGCTTTTCACCCAGGACAATCCTTCGCGACACATCTGCACGTCCAAAATTACTGACACCGTGACGTCCAGTCACGACTTTTCCTTTCTCACTGGGGTGCTGAAGGCCAAGGGCTGTTTTGCTCTTTTTCCAACAGGACCATAATGCAGCAAGAAACACAAAAGAGGCCAGGGCGGGGGTGGGGGGAGTCCCCCAGACACACAGGTCCTTGGGAAGCTGAGGCAAGAACGTTTGACGGAACTCACGGAAGCAAAGCCCAGGAGGCTGATGGGGAGATATACTTGCTTAACTCTTGATTCTCGGGTTAGGCACACAGGCTCCCCTGCTGGACCTGAAGATGGGCTGACAGAATGCCCCCCCCCCCAGTAGAACTGTGGGGCACAACCTGGTCACTCCTCTTCACCCCAGGGCGTTCTGCCTTTCCATTCACATCCAGAGTCAATGACATGGCCTTCGAGGCACGACTCCTTCCTCACTGGAGAGCTGAAAGCAGAGAACCATGATGCTCCTCCTGAGCTAGTGGAATTCTGTGAAAAGCGCAGGTCCCTGAGGAAGCCGAGGCAGGACCATTCGGCAGCCTCCGTGCTTTGCTCTGTTGCCTATCGTGATGCACACGCACGCTGGAAGGGCAGGGCTGTGCTGGGCCGTCTGTCCCAGTGCTGGTACCCATGGTGAGCGAAGTATAACCCCGTGGCAGGGGGAGCAGAAGCCCCGGCCAGTTTGTGCACAGTTGTCCAAGGGGCCCTGGCGTGTGTTTGTAAGGGACACAAGAGCCCCTGTTGACTGAGCTAAGTACTGGCCTCTGGCGGCAAACGTGCTCTGAGAGGATCCAGAATTCTGAGACCCCCTCAGCAAACATCTTGGTGGTGCTCTCAGAACACAGAATTACAACCATAAGGGGAAATGATGATGAGCCAGAGAATTCCTCAGGGAGGGATCGATCTCTGCAAGAACACCCATTTGGCTGCTTGGAAGGATGGTAAATGTGGGATGCGGTGAGGCAAGAAGGCAGAGACAACTAGGCCACTCAAATGGGAGTGTAAGGGGGGGCGGCGAGGGGGAAAAAAGATTCTGAGGGGCAATGAGGGATGGGGGTTGGGATGAGCTCTGGGGTAGAAGCGGGTACGTAAAGGTGCTGGCACCTAATCTCTTGTGGGACGAGCACCAGGGACCACAGGCTACCCATGCATCCGGCAACTCCAGAGTAAGGTGGTGGGTGAAGATCACATGCCTGCTTGGTCCCCGAAAGATACAGAGGCTTCAAGTAGGTGAAAACAATCTTTTTTTCCTCTTGTTTTTATGGGAGAATAACAACCATGAAAAGTACGGTATACAGAGAGTATAGCTGAGCAAAAAAAAATTTTTTTTTTAAAGATTGTATTTGACAGAGACACAGTGAGAGAGGGAACACAAGCAGGGGGCAGTGGGAGAGGGAGAAGCAGGCTTCCCACAGAGCAGGGAGCCTGATGTGGGGCTCGATCCCAGGACCCTGCGATCATGACCTGAGCCGAAGGCAGACGCTTAACGACTGAGCCACCCAGGCACCCCAGCTGAGTGAATTGTGAGAGAATGCTGATAGAACCACCCCCCGAGTCAAGAAATAGAATATCACCAGTCCCCAAAGCCCACTCGTGTGCCCCCTCTTCATCAGGGGGCACACGAGGGGGAACTGTAATTCCCTCTAGGGGAATTAACTCAATTCCCCTAGAGGGAATTACAGTTAAGTTTTGCCTGTGTTTGAACTTGACATAAACAGAACCATACAGTATAAACTTGTGTCTGGCTTCTTCATTTCACCATTAAGTTTCTGAGATTTGTCTATGTCCTAGTATGTGGTTGCAGTTTGTTCACCCCCAAAGTTGTGTGGGATATACCCTCATTTACTCACTGCTGACGACCTCTCAGTTTCCAGTTCTTGTCTATTATGAACGGTGCCGTCAGGGACATTGTTACCCAGGTTGTCTTGTGGCACACGTGCATTATATTGGGGGTATATTCTCACGAGTGGAACTACAGGGTCGAAAGCCCACGCTCCAAATAGTTTTGCCAAGTAGCTGTACCAATGTACGCTCCCTCCAGTCATGTTGATTTCCAGCTCCTCCTTCTCTTTCCCAAAACGATATTGTCAGCTTTTTTTTTTTTTCAGTCATTCTGGTTTGCCATAGCAGTATTTTAAGTTTGCATTTCCCTGATGGCTAGAGAGGTTGAGCACCTTTTCACTAGTTTACTGGCTATTTGGATCATTTGTGATGCACCTGTTCAAATCTCTTGCCCATTCATTTGCTGGGTTGTCTATCTTTTGTTGATTTGTGGTATGTATGTGGCATAGGAGTCCTTGGGTTGTCTATCTTGCAGTATCTTCTCCCATCCTTAATGTTGTCTTTTGATGAAAAGACGTTCTTAGTTGTAAAGTAATCCATTTTTTCAGGACTTTGTGGTTAGTGCATTTTGTATCCTGTTAATAAAAATCTTTGCTTAAAGTATGAAGAGCTTCTGTGTTGTCTTCTAAAAGCTGTGTTCTCTTTCCTATTCAGATATCAAAACTATCTGGAATTGATTACATGGGTAGTATGAAGTAGGGTTCTCATTTAACTTCATCTACACCCATATCTGAGTCCGCACCATTTTTTGAAAAACCCATCTTTTCCTCATGTTGCCTCTTAAGAGCCACCCTCGTCAAAATTCAAGTCTCCACACATCTTTAGGCCCGTGTCTGGATTATGTTCCAGCAGTCTATTCCTGCTCTGGCACCATAGTCTTGGTTTCTCTAGCAGAGGAAGCTGTCCTCCTACTTTGGTTTTCAAGACTGTCTTTGATATTCCTGGCCCTCATTTTATTTTTTTCAAAAATTTTATTATGTTAGTCACCATACAATACATCATTAGTTTTTGATGTGGTGATCCACGATCCATTGTTTTCGTATAACACCCAGTGCTCCATGTAGTACGTGCCCTCCTTAATACCCATCACCAGGCTAACCAATCCCCCTACCCCCTCCCCTCTAAAATCCTGTTTGTTTCTCAGAGTCCATAGTCTCTCATGGTTCATCTCTCCCTCCAATTCCGCCCCGCCTCATTTTTCCCTTCCTTCTCCTAGTGTCCTCCATGCTATTCCTTATGTTCCACAAATAAGTGAAACCATATGATAATTGACTTTCTCTGCTTGACTTGTTTCACTTAGCATAATCTCCTCCAGTCCCATCCATGTTGATGTAAAAGTTGGGTATTCATCCTTTCTGATGGCTGAGTAATATTCCATTGTATATATGGACCACATCTCCTTTATCCATTCGTCTGTTGAAGGGCATCTCAGCTCTTTCCACAGTTTGGCTATTGCGGACATTGCTGCTGTGAACATTGGGGTGCATATCTGGCCCTCATTTTAGAACCTAGTTTATCAGTTTACACACACACACACACACACACACACACAAACCTTACTGGGATTTTATTGGAATTGCATTGAATCCATATGTCGATGTCAATTTTAGAAGAAATGGCATCTTTACAATATTGAATCTTCCAATCTTTGAACATAGCTTTTCACTCCATTTGTCTTTATTTCTTTCAATAATGTTTGTGTGTGTGTGTGTATAAAAGTCATTGCATAACTTTCATTAGCCTTATTCCTGGCATTTTGTTACTTGACGCTCTTGTAAATGGCATATTTTTAAAATTTGTATTTTCTAACCGCTGCTGACATAGAAATTACAACCAATTTTTATTTTTATTTATTTTAAAGATTTTAAGTAATCTCTACACCCAACATGGGGCTCAAACTCACAACCTCAAGACCAAGAGTTGCATGCTCCATCAACTGAGCCAGCCAGGTGCCCTCCAACTGATTTTTATATATTGACCTTCTGTTCAAGAACTTTGCTAAGCTTACTCTAATAACTTATCTATAGGTTCTTTTAAATTTTTTACATACACAATCCTATTGCCTGTGCATAATTTTTATTTTTTCCTTTCCAATCCTCATACTTTATTTGAGACTTGTGGTCATGAATGTAAAATGTTTTTCTCTAGTAATGTTCTGCTGCTCCAGAAGTGAGGAATACACAAATAGCCTATTTTAAGTGGGGTTAGATTTTAGCCACGTTTGTCTAAGAAAAGCAGGGCAGATGAGTTGTTATAACACTGGATTCTATAAGGCTAATGGTAAAGGTAAGGAACTGAGGAAGTGAGGAATGATGGATTGGAGATCTCAATAAGATCAAAGAACTGTTGGGATAATTAGCTGGATGGGTTGGCCAGGTCTTCTGGCTTGCTCTTCCAGCAAGGTACCTGACAGGGAGGAAGGAGGGGGCAAACACAGGGTAGAAGGAAAAGGCAGGAAGCGAGAGGACAACTAAGATGTCCTAGAGAGCAGTTTCCGCCAAGGCTTTGCGCTCTGGTCTCCTGGACTGCTCTCCATTTATCCCACAGCAGCCTCAAACCCAGGTTTCTGAGCCCTGGGTGGACCCTCTAGCTTAGAGCTGAAAAGAAGACAGAGGATGACTCGTAGGGATCTTGCTATGTTCCTAGGAGGTAGGGGCAGGTCTGGAGTTGAAGGGAGAAACTGTCACCAAAACTTGGTTTCCGTCTTTACAGAACACATTAGAAGCTGCCACTGGTGGGGTGGGGCATACAGGTGAGTGCACATGCGGAGTGGGAGGCCTCCACAGTACAACAGCCAGAGAGGACAGCAGTGGAGGCAGGAACAGCAGGGAGCGACACGGATAGCCACGGCAGTCAGGGGTATCGTCTAGGTCTTGCTCTCCATAGGAGGATCCGCTGAAGCCACTGCTAGCCCTAGTGAAGCCAGCAGAGCTTGATTTCCCTCGGCCGGTGGTTCCTTTACGCCTCTGCACATTTGCCCACTTAGCCTCCAAGACCTAGGATGGCTCCTCCTTCCCTCGCAGCTGCAGGCTTCCTTTTGGTTATTCGAGGCTCTGCTCAGGCATTTTCTCTAGCGGGAAGCCGTCCCAGATCGCCAAGTTGGCTGAGGCACTTCCTCCGGGACCCTAGCACCCTTCCCCCTAGCGTTCCGCCTGCCTCCCTCCTTTGTTGGTGTGAAGTCTTGCGCCCTGCACTCGCTAGATTTGTGGACCCGGAGGGCGAACGTGCAACCAAAACCTCGTCCCCGACCTCGCTCCTCCAGCCCCTACACCGGCTGGGCCCTCATCCAACCGAGTTCCGCCTTCAGCGGTGCAGCAGATGCTCCACCCTCACGCCCAGCAGAACCCAGACTGCACACCCGGCGCGAAGCTCCGACCTTAGGGGGTCCTCAGATTCTGGAGCCCACCGGCCGGCTCTCAGTACGTAGAGAGGGTGCTCGGGAGGTGGAGCCCACGGGAACCCCACCTCCCGGAAGCGAAGAAGTCAAGGGGCCAAAGAACGTGCCGTCTGATTGGTTGATGGTGATGTCATAGGTACCGTCGGAGTGGGCCGGAGGCCTTAGCCAGGAGTTTTCCGTTAGTTCCTAGCAGGATCCGCGCCCCTTGGAGCGTTCTGGGATCCAGCTCTAAACCCCTCCTCGGTCCTGGGACGCCCGCGCCCTTCACACATGACGCTGCAGGGCGTTGCCGCTGCTGCCTTTGCCGGCGGGACCGTAGAAAGCCAACAGGATTATCTCTCCCGGCCATCCTGGAAGCCACAGAACCCTCCCCTCAGACAATGAGTCCGCCGTCGGGGGCGGAGCCTCCCATTGTGCCAATAGTTCTCCCCCAACCCGTGTCGACTTCTGTGACGTCCATTCCGCGGTGTCTGCCCATTGGCCAGCTGGGACCGATTGGCGCCCGGAGTTGCTCAGTGCTGGGAGAACTGTATTGAATCGTGGGAGGAGGGTTGAGCTTCCGCTAGTCCATCCAAGGGGTTAAGGGACGTGGTCGTGGCGGGCGAGGGGCGGGGATCCGAGGAAGCCCTGGCTGCAGCCCTGTGGCAACGTCGGGCTCCACGTGGCATCCCAGAGCACTCGAGACCCGCAGCTTGGAGGAGGGTGTAGCCTCCAGTGGAGGCGTCCCCAGCGCGGGAGACTGCTGGGATCCAGCAAAGCAGGGAAGAGTTTGGTCTTTACTCACGCCTTGGGCGGGTCACCCAGTCCCTGCTCTGCAGAGACGCTCCAAACAGGCAGATGGTTCCGACATATTTCATGAGTTAAAACTCACTGATCGAACAGTTCAAGCTATTAACTTTGGTTATGGCGTCCCAGGTCCCCATCCAGTCAACGTCCCTTCCACCCCCAGGATTCCACATGGTACCCCTGCCAAAAGTCAGGATAACGCTCTCTGCAAGTCATGGGCACCAAATTTTCAGGCCAAAATCCGGGACAGGGTTCGGAACTAGTGCTCAGGAAGGGGGACAAGAGACCGGCAAGCAGAAGAAAGGATGGAAGATGCAGCTGGGACCGCGCCTAGAAGAAAGAAGGCGGGTGAGGGCGGTGGCTCAAAGCAAGGAGGGTGGATCCAGGGGCGGTGAACCTCCTAGCCCTGTTCAGCACCGCGGGCAGCAGTTATGCTTTGCCCTCAATAAAGATGGCGACAACAGCTTCAGTAGTCAGAGTCCGCATGCGTAACGGGCTGTACCACCGGATTTGGAGCTTCGGGGCGGAGGTGGAACGAACCATCGCTGAGGCCGGGAGCCATGTTGGAGCGGCGGGAGGCGGCAGCAGCGTCGGGGATGCTGTGGTGGGGGCGGCAAAAGCCGGGGCCGCACGCCAAAGGGGTTCTGGCCGCGGAGTAGATGGTGCCCAGAGGGCGGAGGCGGCGCGGAGCGACAGGCCGAGAGGCGGGGGACCGGGGCGGCGGCAGGGGCCCGGGAGGGGGCCCGAGCGGCGGGGCGGGCCCAAGGCCCGGACCCGGGCGAGGGGCGGTGGAGGCCGTGTGGGGAGGCGGGGGGTGATGGCGAGGCGGCCGCCGCGGTGGAGTCTCAGGGGGCAGACGACCCCACTACTCCTGCTCCTTCTCCTCCTCTCTTTGTTCCCTCTCAGCCGGGAGGAGCTGGGGGTCGACGGGGGCCAAGGCTGGGACCCAGGGGTAGCTGCCGCTACGGGGCCAGGGGCGCGGACCGGTGGCAGAGCCTTAGCTCTTTGTCCCGAGACGCCCGGGGTCCAGGAGGATGGAGAGCCTGATCTGGGAGTCAGGGAGCCTGTCTTCATGGGGCTCCGAGGGGGAAGGCAAAGCGCCCAGAGTGGTCGAGGGCCCCCTGAGCAGCCGAACGCGGGGCTGGGGGCTAAATATGGGGTCCAGGCATTAGACAGCCGCGGGCGAGAACCAGGACAGGGACCAGGGTCTCTGCTATGCTGGCGCGCAGAGGTCTCCTCTTGCGGGCAGACAGGACCCTTGCGAAGAGATAGTCTGTCTCCAGAGGCTCTGTCCCCACGGGTCCCGAGCCTGGAGAACAGCTCGCCCTTCCCTTCCGACCTTCTGGTACGGCCCCGTGGTTACAAGTCGGTGTCCTCCCAGAGGAATGCTGGGAGAGGCAACCCCAAAAAAGTGGGAACCATGC